CACACACACACACACACACACACACACACATACACATCCATATCCATAGTGCACAAGAGGTGGCTTACCTCTGCAGAGATCCTCTTGATCACTGTAAGCCCTGTTCTCATAATTCCCACCCACCCCACCATGAACAGTACTCCTTATGTGTTGCCTTCTGTACCGCCAGTACCATCCCCTGTCTTCTTATCACCTCCCCCGCCACCGGTAGCATTGCTGTGGTCAGCCACACCGTTTTGATGTCCACTATTGGCCACGCTAATGCCATCATTACTCCCAGCAGTTCTACTGTCTCCATCAACAATCACTCATCAAACATCAACACATGACTGATGCCGCCATGAATCCCTTACTTGAGAGTCATAAAGTCTACGGGTTCTGTTCCCACAGACTTATTAAGATGGACTAACTCCAGGGCAGGTGGAGTTATTTAACAATGAGCAAACACAGATATGAGTATTGGTTGCAAACATTGTACCAATGAGAGAGAATTTTGGGAAGTCAAATTCCTGAGATACCACACTAGATCTTTTCTCCTTTGGTTGCACTGCCGTGTTCTCTGTCTCCTGGTTTTAGTCCTCTCTCTCCTAATACTGCATCCCTTAAATGTTGGTGTCATCTTGGTTCTGGACCCTTGCCCCTCCTCAACCCATATTTTCCCGGGCCCTTGGCAATGTGCCCCAAGTCTTACCTTTTGGCGGTAGCTTCTGCTTCCCACTGGTGGAGTTCTCACTCGGCCAATCCTTTCACTTCTCTTTCTTCTATCTTTTTTCTACTTCCGGTATATTATTTTTTTCTGTTTGGTTTATCTCAATATCTACCGTTCTTTTAATCTCATTCTGTTTGTATCTTGTTTCCCATGTTTTCATCTCTGCTGCTGATCCTTGGAAAGGAGGTGAGCAAAGCTTTAATGCCCATGTTGTTGCTTCTGTTCCCCGGGTAATCCTTTTAGCAGGAAACCTAGAGGCACGGGAGAAGTGTGTGTCTGCCTCTGACCTCGCCTGCTCTTCTGGGCTCTTCTTCCCACCCTTCTTCCACGCCCAAGCTTTCCTTCTCTTTGCTCTCCCTTCCGCTTCTCATTCTTGAGGCCTCCTCCCAGCCTTCCTCTCTGTTCTTTGCACGCCCTACCACACCACCCTGCTTCTTGTTTCTCTGCCACCGTCTCTTCCTCATCCCCAGACTTGGCCCCCAAGGAGTGCCTGCTTCTGGTCCCCGGGTCTCTGCTTTGTCCTTTCACAGGCTTGCAGCTCTAGAGCATAGTTTTGCATCAGTGATGCGGCTTCCCTCAGCGTTTCAGTGCCCCTCTGCGTTAGCTGCTTGGAACCTCCCATCTGTAGTTTAGGTAGTGGCTCACTTGAACTGGTAGATGCATTGATTAGGGTCAGGATGTATTATCAAGCAGCTGTCTCTGGGCAGACACTGCACTGCACCAGTCTTTAGAAGAACAGACTTTTAGCCTTGGTTCTGCACTTACTCAGCTTGGTGTGATTTAGGGATGTCGCCCAATCTTTCAACCCTCAAGTTTCCTCATCTACAAGAGGAGACCCCCCAAAAACAGGATTTCTTTTTTGGTGGGCGAGCCGTACTAGATGAGTGTTCTAGGAACTCATTGGCATCAGTGTACCAGCTAGCGTTTTTGTGAGAGGCTGTATTTGGCTTCAGTGAATATTTTTTGGGAGATTCTTTCAACATTTTTGCCCATTTCCTGATGGGTGATTTATGAGCAAACCTGCCCACACGGTGCTGAGTAACCAAAAACAGCATGACCCCCCATGTTCCACCCTCCCTATTCAACTCATCTTACCTCCGGGGACCTCTTTTGTTTCCTTGGTTAAAAAACAGTCCTCAAAGGGAAACATTTTACCCAAGTGGAAGAAGTGAAACAAAAAAAGGCAGAAGCACTAAAAGGCACCGAAATTGACAAGTTCAAAGACTATTTTGAACTGTGGAAAAAGCATCTCGATAGGTGATTGACCTTTAAACATGTAAGAATAAATACACACCTTTTAAAATAATTAAATTCCGTTTTTGTGCCCCTCCCCGGTGATACAGACATAATAATACCCGTCCTATTTTTCTCAAAAGGCGGTTATCAGAATTCAGTTCTCAACCGGTGCTGTGGAAATGCAGGAGTTTGTTATTGTGTCCGTTCTCTCAAATGTTTTGATGTGTATTCTCAAGTCCTGGTCTCCCAATCCACTTCCTTCCTGACCAGAGAAGCAGCCAGCACTGATGGAGTTCTTGCTGTGGGAGAGTCCCTGGAGGGGCGGGGGCAGACAGAAACAACCCCCCCCCAGGGAACCAACAGTCACAGGCAGGACAGGAGGGGTGCACACACCAGACCTCAAGACCGTGATTGGATTCCATGTCACACAGCAACTCGTTAGCACAGCACAGACTCTGCGTGTCCACACAGCAGGGTGGGGCATCTGGCCCTGTGGCTGCAGATGGGCGAGGAAGAAACATCTCCTAAAGTTTCTGGGTCTCAGCTCAGATGGACTGTTCTGGCGTCCTGTGAGATCAGCCCCATGGCCCTGGATCTTACTCGTATTCGTAGAACGCAGCGGCTTGTAGCTGACCTCACAGGGGTGTTCTACATGGGCTGGGGGGACATAATTTGGCATGCTGTCTAGGATGTGTGTGTTCATAAAAATTAGCCTGAGACTCTGATTCCAGGGTGGGGGCATGGGTTCAACCCAGTTTTCCCAACGTGGGAAAGGACCGTGGAGAGGAGAAGACCAGGCAGACAGGGTGAGGGTGAGCATTGGAACCGGTGGCATTTCTTCCTTTTCAAATGGATCTGGGAAGGGATTAAAACGAGGAAAAAAAAACCCCCGCATTTGCAGAGAGCCACGTCCTGGTGGCAGGGGAACCGTGGAGGAAGGCTGAAGCATGGCGTGGGATCGGTTAAGCATCGTCTAGGCAGTGGGGGCTTGGACTGTAACCCAGCAGGGTCCGGAGAGACCGGGAAGAGCGGGAGGAAGTCACGAACTCGAGATCTCAAGCCTGGACAAAGCCATCGTCCTGTGTCCAGGGACGCGGAGTTCTGAACACAGATATTAACTGGGAGGGGGAGTCTTGGAAGGAAGCATTTGTTTTCCAAAAACAACAACAGAAGAGCCAGCGTTTTGCGAGGGACACGCCACATCCATGCACTAGAGGGATGGGAAGGCCCGGCCTTTGGCCCTGAGCAGCCTGGAGAGATTCGAAGCGGGAGTTTGGGGCAGGTGCGTTCTCACGTCTGCTCGTGACCAAGGTGGCCCTCCTAGACTGTGGCCAACATCTATGCTGATGTCTTGAGCACTTTTCTAAATGTGTGACTGAAAACCCCTTTTCTCACCCCTTCTGTTTTTGTGCCCTTCCAGCCTCTAGCAAAGACAAGGTTGGCAATGGACGAGGGGTTGGTATCTGGGGCTACTTGGGAGGACTTCTTCCTGTCGAGGAAGTCATGTGACTCCAGCCCAAGGCCACTGAGTCTGGGAGAAGTGATATGCTTGGGTTGGTTGAAAGAGTCTTTTTGTCCAATCTGTCAGAGCTTTCGTAGCTATTATTAATAGAGTGACTGTTGTCCCAGGGGTCTCATTTGCTGTGACTGGGAGTCTGCAAGGACTGTTGCGTATGCAATCTTTGCATGCAAGGAGATGTTGGTAACTTACGGCAAGATGGGAAAACAGGCTTGGAGCTCCCCAGTTCTCCAGGACAGGAGAGGTGCATGCTGGGAAGCGCCATGATGGGGAGCAGAGGTGACAGAGGTGGGCTGCTTGGCCAAGAGCCTCACGCAGTGGTGGTGGTGGTG